TGGAACAAGGTTCCCCCTGAGATCTGAACAGTCTCCACCCTGTTGGTGTTTCAAAGGGTCCTGAAGACCTGGCTCTTCACCCAGGCCTTTGGTGAGGGACAATGAGATCCCTCACTTCATCACGCTTTCCATCTTTTTTTCTTTACAGGTAGTCCTCCCTTAACAACCACAATAGGGCCTGAAAAATTTGTTGTTAACCGGGGCAGTCGTTAAGCAAGTCATGCCCAATTTTACCTTTTTTGCAGCGGTCATTAAGCGAATCACCGCAGCCATTAAGTGAATCACACGGTTGTTAAGAGAATCACGCGGTTCCCTGTTGATTTTGCTTGCTGGAAGCCAGCTGGGAAGGTCCCCAATGGCAATCGTGACCGCAGGATGCTGCAACTGTCGTAAGTACGAGCTGGTTGCCAAGTTCCCGGATCGAGATCACATGGCCACGGGGGTGCTGCAACGGTTGTAAGTGCAAGGACCGGTTGTACGTCCCTTTGTTCAGCACCACTGTAACTTTTAACAGTCGTTAAACAAATGGTCATTAAGTGAGGACTACTTGCCTTTTTTGTTTTATTGTAACTTCTTTGTTTGATTGTTATAAGCTGCCCAAAGTTGTTGGGTGGCATACAAGTTTAATAAAAAAATCATCATCATCATCATTATTTAGCAAGCAGGCTCTTTAGCACAATTCTCTTTAGCAAGTTCTCTTTAGCAAGATTTATTGAAATAAAGGGATGGAGTTACAAGAATTCCATCAATAGAACAAATTCCCTTAAGAAGCAACTTATCACTGTGCAATTTCTGGTTCGCTTTTTAACAGCCGTCCTATGAACCAGCAAAGTGGCAGGTCTGTTCACCGATAACAGGGAAACCTGCGGCTGATCGTTTGCGTAACGGTCGCCTGATTTTTCGTCTGGGAACCAAATTATTACCAACTGCTATTTGGTTAATGGCTGCCACTAAACCTCACAGCCCCACGAAAGAGGCTGTGAAGAGGCAGCGACAACAGACCGACTCCCCATCAATTTATCTAATATCTCTTTCACCTCTTCTAAGCTCCGATTGACCGATAATCCTGCAATATCGCACCAGGCCTCTGTTTTTTGTCTAATTATGCAAGAGGGGGAAATGATGCTGCCATAATTGTATAAACACTTGCTTATCTATTCTATTCCCACTCCTACCACCTTTTTTGTTGTTGTTAATTAATGAACCTAGGAACATTCTCCTAGTAGGAAGATGATCCTCATCACAGCACCCACGCACGAAAAATGCTTTGCAGATGCATTTATTTACCTAAAACACAAAGAGACAACATGGTGCCTGCTACCACAAACACATCCTTGGGCACCAGCGTGCTTTCCATTTTACCATTTGCGGTTTCGCCAGTTGGCTTCTCTGCAGAGCTTTCTGACAACTCTTCTGATGACAGCCCCAGCGGCCTGCAGGGGGTGGGTATCCAACTGGGCAAGATGACGGGCGTGGCGTAGCGTCATGATCCTGTCCCCTTTGGAAGGCATCTTGCCCACCCCCACAAAAGGGTGGGGCTTGAGTGCATCTGGCCCATTTTGGCCTCTCCTATCTTCTGACAGCCCCCCCCCCCTTCTGCTTCCAACAATGCTAACCAGGGCAGAAATTTAGGGATGGCCACCCCACCAAAAGATCAACCACTAATTCAGGACTCTTCAAGGTAGAGAGGAAATATAACATCTTTGCAAGCCTAGTCTCCCAACAACCGACACCACACTCCTCGGTGGATGTCTACAACGGTTGCATTCACACCATACGCTCCACCAAACTGGATAAAGACTTGCAGCTGATTCGCACACTGCACTAAGCTTGGCTGGCATGACTTTGGTTAGCTTTTTTGCAGCCAAGTAGGTGATGCAAGTAGGTGGCATTTGGACAGCTCACGTTCCAGCCGGTTCATGGTTTAATTCAGGAACCCGATAATGTGCATTTTGGGAACGCAGGGCTCGGATTCACACCCTAACCTAAACCTGAGCTAATAAAACC